GTAGGGGCCTCTGTGCTGCATCCCAGGCACCATCCCAGGAGGCAGCAAGGAACTGACAGTTTCCTCCGCAAGCAAAGGAGGGTTTAGGGTTTAGGGTTTAGGGTTTAGGGTTTAGGGTTTAGGGATGGAGGCTTTGAGGTTTGTAGAGTCCAGGTTTTGGGCTGTAGCGTGTAGGACGTGTCAGAGTTTAGGGTGGGTTTGGCTCTTTCTGCAGGGATCATCGAAGTTTGCGGTATTTGCGGGTTTGGCACGAGGCCAGGAGCTGTCGTGGGCAACATTTAAGAGCTCAGGCAATCAAGAATCCCAGTTCCAGACTGTTCGAAGCCCAATCGGGCCCCCGAGAGATTGAGCCGAGCATTTACTACGCAGAAATGGGAGTTTCCGAAAGGAAGGGGTACCTCATTTTGGGGTTCCTTATGATAAGGACCCTACTATTTGGGGTACTATGTTGGGGTCCCCTATTTTCAGAAACCTCCAAATCCAGCCCCAACAACGCATGTACATAGATGGTGGTCACTGAACCCAGAGCTCTGGCTACTTACAAACCCATTGAGGTACCCGCCAGCCATAGTGTTGCTTACCAACCCTAAACTCCTGACCTTAAAACCCTAAACCCTGCAAAAAAAAATGCTTAAACCCTAAACCCTGAAAACCAAATTGCTTAAACCCTAAACCCTCACAAAAAAATGCTTAAACCCTAAACTTTCAAGCAAAAAATGCCTAAACCCTTAACCCCAAACCCCAAGTCCAGAGATCCTCGAAGAGAGGCTCCCTAAACCCTAAACCCTAAACCCTAAACCCTAAACCCCCGAGATCCTCGAAGAGAGGCTCCCATGGTCCCTTCTTCGGCCCTTTGCTGACGCTGCGCAGCCGCCTGGGCGTTGCCCGAACAAAGCTTACAGGGTTTAGAGTTTAGGGGTTCAGGGTTTAGGGGTTTAGGGTTTCGGGACTTCCCTATTGTTTTTTTGTTTATTGTCAGGATCCTAGATTTAGAAAGCAAGGCAGCCCAAAGCAGGAATTTACCATGGAGGCTGGAAGGGCAATGAGCTCGGGAAAAGGTGAACCCTAAACCCTAAACCCTAAAACCTAAACTCCTTAAAGGTTAACCCCAAGACCGCCCAAACTGGCCCAGGCGCTGGTCCGCTGCGGGTCTTTCGCTCTATGCCAGCTCTCCGCCGTTTGCAAGGACTGAGATGTAAAAATATCTGCTTTCACGGTTTAGGCTTTAGGGTTTAGGGTTTAGGGTTTAGGGGTTTCTAGGAATCTCATGGCGTACCCACGGGCCCATAGGTTTTACTAAGGTTCTTGGGGTCTCTGCTCTGTAAGGTTCTATGCGGATTCCGTGTTATCGCTACCGTGAGTTTACCCCCAAACCTCTTCCCGACACCAATGCCCTGTACATCCTTGTACCGTGACCAAAAATCTTGAGTCTTATGCGGCCAGGCTATCAGTTGCCTACGGAGTTCGGTCATGTTATGTGGATTTGACAGGTGTTTAGAATTTAAGCGGGGGTCTTGTAATTAAGGGGTTTTATAAAGGTTTACTCCATTGAAGTTTTGGCAGTTAGATTAAGGGTTTGGGGTCAAGATCTCTGCCCTTACAGATGCCAGGGCCCTCACAGAACACCTATAATAATGCCTGAACAAGATCAAACCAACTGTAAACCTCCTCGGCTGACAGAACCCAGAAACTGGGGACCTTGAAAGCTTCCGTAACCCCTCAAACCCCAAAGCCCCAAGCCTATTAGGAATTATTCCGGACGCGGATAGCTGAGGGAAAAGAGGGTTCAACAAAAATAGATAACCCTAAACCCGTAAACCCTCAACCCTAAACCAACCCTAAACCCCTCAACCCTAAACCCCTCAACCCTAAAACCCCTAACCCATAAACCCTGAAAGTTTCCGCAGGACTCAAGATCATCCTCTACGTGGCTGCCCCGCCTCTGTGCTTCGGGGCGGTTAGATAGGGCTTTTCGATTGGGGGCTTAGGATTGAGGGTTCGTTTTGGGGTTTAGGGTTTAGGATTTTTGGGTTCAGCTTGGGTTTGGGGCTTAAGGTGAAAACTTGAAGAGCCAGGGTAAGGTTACAAGCACCTTGCTTGCTCTTGTAGTGTCCATAACCCGACTTGCTAAGACTTTCTAAGTCCCGCATATTCTTTTCAAGAGCGAGAGCCACAGGGGGCAGGACGTGCGGTTTAGGGTTCTGATGCTCACACGTGCGGCCTAAACCCCAAAACCCTGAACCCCGGCGGTATCCCACATGGCACCCTTATAGTAGCCCTTATAGATCCCTTTTAAATAACCCTTCTAGTACCCTTAAAAAAAGACCCCAAACTGCTGTTCATGAGGGATCCTTGGCCCTTTAAGCGGGGATCTGCCGAGGTTGACCATCGAGTCAGTTTTTTAAACACTGGTGCTCGGGTTTAAGGTTTGCCTGTAGCCGAAAAGACTTACCTGTTTAGGCTTGCTTATCATGTAGTTCCTAACAGCGGTAGGTCTTTTAGGTCCGAGGTAGGTTCTGCGGAGGGGTTCAGGTTTAGGGTTTAGGGCTTATGGTTGCAGCTGGAGCTTTGGGAAGCCCCGTCGAGATCCTCCAAACCTGGAAGAAATATCCCTTAATAATGGAGGAATGTTCCCTAGACCACTGCAATGTAGAAGTCGGAAGAAGGATGTACCTTGGAGGTCCTTTACAATTATTCGCAGAAATGCTTCAAACCTTATTCGAGCTACTACGGCCCTTATAGTAGTAGGATCCTTAATTTGGATTTTCTGGAACTGCTACCAAGGCATAGGCCTTGGTAGCCTGAAGAACGCGTTTCGGAGATGGCCTCAGGTGGACCCTTTTGTGCCTCCAGGAAGCATGGGACGGAGAGGACGGCTGACTTTTTATGGTTCGGTCTTGGGAGGTCTGGGGTGTTTTCACAAGTTGATTGTTTCCGGGCTAGGTGTATGATGAGACCTTCAAATAAATCTTGCCTGCAGTGACATCCTCATAGCTGCCTATTTCCCGAAGATATGAAGTCAAACCCCGCCTGTGAAATTCGGGTCCTGCGGATTCGTGCGCTGAGAACCTCCTGTGTGGTGTGCAGAAGAGCCTTTGGGCCATAAATCAGAAGTCCTCTTGTGCTGATGAATCTTCGGCAGTCTTATCTTGTTCGTGGTGGTTCACACCTGAACACAGGGACAGCCTGATGGCAATAGCAAGCGGGACAGGTAAGGGCTTTTCAGGCGTGCCTGATATATCAGTTTAAGAGACGTATATCTTTGTCATTTGCTCGTGTACATACCTGACTGAGTAGCTGTCTACCTACGTCCGCACATACCTGTGCGATCTACTTCCTTGCTTTCCTTCCATCCTTCTTTCAAAGTGTCCTTCGGACCCGATGCAATAGAAATCTGCACTGTAGGGTAATCCTTATGAGAACCTTTAAGCCCCAACCTCCCAAAGCCCAAAGCCTCAAAGCCTAAACACCAAAGTCCACCCGTAGTCATCCTTAGCGTAACTGCAACCAGTAACCTTCCTAGTATCCCTCCCAAAGCCCGAAGCCCCAAACCCTAAACGCCAAAATTCGAAATCTCTAAACCCATAGAGAGGAACCCATTATAGGAACAGGTATAGCCACAAAGCCCCAAAATCTTTAACCCATAGGAACCCTTAAAGAAACCATTCTAGGAGCCTAGAGAGCGCCACCAAAACCCGAAGGATCCGCTGCCAGGCTTCGTTGATCGCCACGAAGTGGCTCGTCCGAAGCTTTCCGGATTCCCCACAGTGCTCCGAATCTCTGGGTTGGTTCTATACTTGGAGGATCATGGGACGTAGTAACTAGGGTTCTGAATAAGGTAACAACAACTAGGGTACTTATAACCTTACTTACTAAGTCCCATGATCCTCCTAGTAGTTGTAGTTCTCTAAGTATAGGTCCCTGTTTTAGGGCTCCTTAAGGGATAAGGGTTTCTATAAGGGAAGTTCCCTAAATTAGGCCACCTTTTTGCGGTCCTTTTCATAGGGGTGCCGTACTAATTTTGGGGACCCAAAGAGGGACCCTAAACCCTAAACCGACAACTACTGACAAGGTTCCTCTGAGGGTCTGGGTCTGGGACTTAGGCTTTACTCGAATGGCTTGAGCTCCGAACAAAAACAGGCGTTTAGGGTTGAGGGGTGTTAGGGTGTAGGGGTTTAGGGGTGTCAGGGTTTAAGGGGTTTTGGGTTTAGGGGTTTAGGGTTTTAGGGAAGCAGGTGACCAGATTCCAGTTCATAGCACCGGAAGAAGCCTAGAGATGCTTCAGACCCACCCACGCCATGCGACTGACATGCTTGCGGCGCCCTAAGCCCTAAGCCCTAAACCCTAAACCCCTAAACCCCTAAACCCTAAACCCCTAAACCCGAAACCCCTAAACCTCAGAAACTCCTAAACCCTAAACCCTAAACCCTAAACCCCTAAACCCTAAACCCCTAAACCGTGGCTTATGGTTTAGCTTCAGGGTTTAGCTTCGAAGCTTGGAGGCTTAGAGTCAAGCACAACTTTAGAGCCCCCAAAAAACCCAGAAGCCCAGTGCCAAGGCGGATTGCCAGCCGCAGCATCTGGAGCACCTCGAACTTCTGCTTGCCTCCGCGACAGGACTCGTTTCGGACTGAGGGTTTCGGGCCCCAAAGCTGACCACGAATCCTCCCTTAGGCCCCATAGTAGTTCCTTTTTGGGATTACCTAATAGGATGCTATTAGGTAATCCCAAAAGGGTACTACTATGGGGCCTCTGGGTTAAGCCCTAAGCCCCCTGAACCCGAAGCCCCAAACCGCCTTTGGGGTTGCCCCAGAGCCTTGGCTTTTGAGGCGCCCAATCTTTCGATACTGCTGATGGACAAAATTCCTGCATGACCCAAATATAGTATAGTACCATAAATCCCATCGTTTAGGTATATAAGCTCATGCAGGATTTTGTCCATCAACCGTAGTACTGCTTTTAGGGTGTTGTGCGCAGCGTTCCGGGTAGAAGTTGAGGGGCTTGGGGTTGGGCTCATGACTCGAAAGTCTGAAGCCCTTAGAACAAGCTGAGCTGCCCCCGATGTGCGATCAGGTTTTGTCATGTAGGTGTCGTGATACTTGCTGCGGTCTTTGCAAGAGAGTGTTCTTCCTCTTCTGGTGTTAGTGCCACTGGTTTCGGAATGACCGTTACGGGCTAGTTGTGTTTACTGTGTATCAGACAAAGCCGAGAAGCCTGGAAGCGACTTAGTCCCAGAAAGCCCGCACCTTTCCCACATTCTACCCATAGGTCCCATAGTAGTTCCCTTTTGGGATTACCTTTGGGATCCTAAATATAAGCCACGAAAAGGAACTTCTACGGGGCCTATGGCTAGGGCCTACTTTCACTAGCTGGCTGTTACGCAACCTCTGAGGTTGACGGCGTTTGGGTTTGCGCATGGGCTCTTGGGTCACAGTACTGTCATCCGGGCTTCACCCGATTGATGTAACATAGGGGCCCAAACAATTACTTATGCTATTTTGGGGGTTCCTTATTATAATTATAGTAGAACATTCCCCAAAACCCTATTCTAATTATTTCGGCCCCTACACGCTAAACCTTTGTCGCGTAGCCCTTCTAGAACCCTTTAAGGAACCCTTTAAAGAAACCCCCAAAACCCTAAAAAGATTAGCTCCACGACCAATCTTGTGAAAAGGGGGCGGGTAGGAGTGGGGCTTCAGACGGTCTCGGGCTGAGCGTGCTATCGCAGTGCCTCCCTTACTTAGGGTTCGGACATTGGGGCTTTAGGGTTTAGGGCTTAAGATTTAGGGTTAGGTTTTAGGAAGAGGATTTAGGGCTTAGTTTAGGAGCTTGTTCCAGTTTCACTGTATACTTGGCCTCAGTAAGTTGGATTCGTTCGGGCTCACAAGGTAGACTGTTTGTTCCGGTGCATCCTGAGCGTTAAATCCCAGGACCTGTGGAAATGCGCCTGCCGCCGAGGCAGAGTCCATATTTCGGGGGTCAGGGATACGGGCACCCAGAGAGCTCAATGCCCCTTAAACAAGGAATATACCTTTAAATCACAAGATTAAGGCCCTTCTAATTTAAGGTATCTTCCTTATTTAAGGGGTATTGGGCTCTCTGGGCTGAAGCTGCAGCCGGCAGTCTTTCGGGACCCAGTTCCTAGACCCTGACAAAATATTACCGGCAGGCGAGACATGGAAAGCGGCTCTGCCTGTGGGAAACGGATTATGTCGAAATTATGCGGCGTGATTTGAGCATTCATGGATGATAGGGTTTAGGCATCTGAAGAGTACGTAGTGTTGAAAGCAATGGGCTCTCGTTTATGTATACCCTAAAACCTGCTTTGCAACTTCGCTCGAGGAGCTATACTCGCAGGGTCATGGGACGTAGGAAGGAAGGTATGCAAGTACCCGAATCGGGGATCTAAGTTGATTTACCTTGTTTGTAACCCGAGTTACTAAAGTCATCCCTTAGAGGAACCCTAAACCCAACACCCATACAGAACCCTTATGCATCCCTTAAAGGAACCCTACAAGTACCCAGAGATCCCAGTGCCCCTTAAATCAGGAGCATACTTTCAATTATAGGGGCCTTTATGTTCTGATTTAAGGTCTATCCCTTAACTAAGGGGTATTGGGCTCTCTGGGTAGGGTGCTCCCCCCTAAACCCTCAACCGTGAACCCTGAACTCCCAACCCTAAACCCTGAACCCTCAACCCTAAACCGAGCCCCACGCTAAGCCCCAAGAGGCCGAGGGTCGAGAAGCTCTGCAGCGAGCCTTGGCGCCTCGGATGCGATACAGAAAAACGGGTTTAGGGTTTAGGGATTTAGGGATTAGGGATTTAGGGTTTA